AAATAAAGGTATTCTGTCCATCAACAATTACAAAAATTTTTTTTAAAAAGAAAAGAAAAAGTATCCAACAACCAGGCGTGGTAGCATAGGCTAAAAGGGCTAGGGACATAGCTCAGTGGGAGAGCATTCCTAAGTTCAATCACTAGTGTGGAGAGGTGAAAAACAGACAAACGATTCATTAATACTAGTTGATATAACAGGAAAAATAAGTCTCCCTTGGGCTGGAAGTGTAACTCAGTGATACAGCACTTGCCTACCATGTGCAAAGTCTTGGGTTCAATCCTCAGTTCTGGTGGGGAAATGTTGGTACCCACATCAGACTATGTGATGATGACTCATGACTTACTTTCTCTATTAGCAAATAATGCAGGTTTCCTCAAAAGTTCTTGCTTCCCTCTCTCAGGAATCAGGGACTCAGATGCACTGAGGAGTCAGAGGCAGACAGATGACCTGTGTGTGTGGGTTTTGTGAAGCTCAGACAATTGCCTTCACCAAATTATCCTGCTGTTTGATTTGTAGTTTGACTCTAGAGTCAAAGGTGGGAGGGTTCATACTTCATTCTTGATTATGAGCAGTGAAGATTCCCCAGGGACTCATTCTCAGTTAGTATTATGAATGTTCGCTCTTTGCTCTGCATCCCAAGATGCCTTTCTATTTCTCATGCATGGGTATAATAATGCATTGGTTGCTCTGATTCCTTAAATGATTAATAACAGGACAGTCATGTTCCGAATTAATTCCATTCTTTGCACAGTATTGAAGCTAGCTGTTTCTTCTCAAATTACATTTGAGAATAATTGTGTCATCTCCTTGAGGTTCCATTATGATTTATTTGCACCCCATATTGATCCCCATTGGAAGTGAGATCCAGCACACCTGTGATTAAGGGCCCAGGTTTTGGTGTTGCACAGAGTGACTTGAAATCCTGGTTCTACCTCTTCTAGCTGTTGTTCTCCCTCCATGGAGCCTCAGTTTCCTTATCTGAAAATGATAATAATAAGGTTTTATCTCCATGGGGATCAAACCCAGGCTTTGCATAGTATTGACAGACATATGAAGAGCCAACAAATGCCAGCTAGAGGCCATGAGTGTGGTTGACACAGAGAGAAAGTGTGCAGTAATTTACTGCGATTCAGAAGAGATGCTGAGCCTGAGAACAGACATATAGGAATTATTTGCATAAAGGTGATTTTTAGGCCTAAAAAGTTTTTTTTTCTTTTCTTTTTTTTGTACCAGGGATTAAATTCAATAATGCTTAACCAGTGAGCTACGTCAACAACCCTTTTTTATTTAGAGAGAGAGTCTCACTGAATTGCTTAGGGTCTCACTAATTTGCTGTGGCTAGCCTCAGCTGGCATGTAGCTCAGTGGTTAAGCCCTTTTTATTTTGTATTTTGAGACAGGGTCTCACTAATTTGCTTAGAGCCTCGCTATTTGCTGAGGCTGGCCTCAAACTTGTGATCCTCCTCACTCAGCCTCTCAAGTTGCTGGGATTATAGGTGTGCATCACTGCACCTGGCTCTCTATTCTTTTTTCTCTTGTGTTCTATATCCTATGCACCAGCACCACACTTTCTGGACTTAATCTTAAATATATGCCCTCTAAACACCTGTCTCTACCTCTTTTTGTCACCACCTATTTGTACACCAACATCATCTCTCAATTGGGCTACTAATACAATCTCAACCAGTTTTTCTAATCCCACTTATTTCTTTTATTTCTAAGTACTGATTCAGAAGAAACTGCCAAAAATATGTACAAAGAAATCATAAATGATAACACATTACATAATTATAATATTAAAACTAGGAAAATGACATTAGTATAATCTACAGAATTTATTCTGATCTCACCAGTTTCACATGTACTCATTTATGTCAGGTATTTATAATTTCATGCAACATTGTCATGCAGGTGCATCTGTATAATTGCCACCACAATAAAATACAGAAACATTACCACAAGACTCCCTTGGGCTACCCCTTTATGGACACATGTGGACCCTCTTCCCCACCTCTAACTCCTGGCAGCCACTGATCTATATTTCTATAGTTTTGTTATTTCAAGCATGTTATATGGGTTCTGAAGGTGTAGCTCAGTGATAGAGTGCATGTGGAAGGCACTGGTTTGATTCCTAACACCCACTCCAGAATGTTGTACAAATACAATAATATAGTATATAACTTTTTGCAAGTGACTCCCCCCACCCCAAATGGGGTCTCACTGCTTTTTCTAGGCTAGCCTTTAACTCATGGGTGTAATAATCCTCCTGCCCTCAACTTCTCAGTAGCTGGGACATAGGAAAAAGCCACTGTGCCCAGCTACATGTCGTTTTTTTTTTTTTTTTTTCCAGTCAGCATAATTCTCTCTTCTCTCTCCATACTGAGGATTGAACCTAGAGGCACTTAACCACTGCACCACATCACAAGCCCCTTTTATTTTTTGAGGCAAGGTTACSTAGGGCCTTTCTCAGTTGGTGAGGTTGGCCTTGAACTTGCAATCCTCCTGCCTCAGCCTCAGGAACATTTGGGATTACAGGCATGGGCCACTGTGTCCCTCCCCAGCCTTGTTAAAAAAAAAAAAAAGTTTTTATAGTTTTACACTTTACATTTAAATTGATAGACCATTTTGTGTAATTTTTAAAATAATTTGTGAGGTTAATTTTGGTCAAGTTTCATTTTTTTTTCCTATCTGTAATGGCATTTCTTTTGGAAAATGCTTTTGTAGCTTTCCTCTACCCATTCATTCTTCATAATAATTAAAAAAATATATATGTATGTATTGATCTATCTAGATCTATGTATCTATATAATTTATAAACATGTTTGGCGCAGATCCGCTGCAGGAGAGGCCTTTTTGCAGAATATAATAATAACAAGCGCCTTCCACATACACTCTACCACTGAGCCACACCTTCAGAACCCATATTTATAAATTGGGAAATAGATAGATAGATGATAGATAGATAGATAGATAGATAGATAGATAGATATGTCATGCTGTGACAAAACCTGCTTGACTACAGCATAATGTTGACCCTTTCGAACTACGAAATGCTCACTATGGTTCTCGGCTCTCAGTCACCAGGCTTGTTCCCTCACGTCATGCAAATCTGTTCTATTATCACTTCTTCGACTCTTTCCCCCTGCTCAGTTTTTTCCTCAAAGCACTTATACAACACAAACTATTAGTTTGCTTATCTGTTTTTTGGTTAACACTCCTCTCAATCTTACCAGAAGCGAACATAGTTTATCCCCGGAGCCTAGAATAGTGCCTGGCACATAGTAGGACTCAGTAAATAATTTTATTGCTTGACAGGCTGGAAGGAGTAAATAAACGTAAAGCGGAAGCGAGAGACAAGTCCACCTCTAGGTCAGATGCTGGTTCGAACTTCATGCAAAGTGCGAGCGCCACCTCTCAGGAAGCCAATTTGCTTGAGAACGAAGGAAGTGAGTCAGAATATTAAGGTTGAAAAACAGCTGGCAGCCAGAGCGAAGAGCCCGAAAAAACTAGCGCAGGAAGTCAAACACCGGAAGGTTGCGCCCTAGAATGACGTCCTACTCACAGAAGGAGGCGTGGGCGAGCGGTGTTCTGCAAAAAGGGCTCTCCTGCAGCGGATCTGCGCCAAAGCGTTCCGTGTGTGCAGCTGCTGGGAACCACGTGGGGCCGGGGTGCGTTTCCGGTGCCGAGTACTGCGGCGGTAGTTAAAGCCCGAGCGGCTGCAGGGGTGAGAAGGGTTTGGGGTCCTGAGGGGAAAGGATAGGAGTGAAGTCTGGGGAAGAGGGGGGGTGCGAAATGAAGAGGGTTAGTGAAGGGGTGGGTTCTGCTCTGAGAGGTGTCGAGGGGATCGGATGAGCAAGAAGGGCGGGGGAGCGTCTCTGGACAGGTGCAGACTTGTCAGCACAGTTCCCACGCCACGTGGGTTCTTTGTCCATGCTGCCTATCCCGTCAGGGAGGGGCTGTGCGGTATTCTCCTTCAGTACGGTACTGGGCACAGCGTTGGCACTTAGGAAGTACTTGCTGAATGAATGAATGATGGGTGTGTGTGCCAGGGTGAAGTGTGAAGGGACTTTTATAGGTACCGGTTCTGGCCCTGTAGCCCCATTTTATTCTGGCGAATCCATGCTTGTCCAGCGCTCCTTAAGAGGTTCCCCAGCTAATCTTTCGGCTTTGCCTCTTTCTTGGAAGGGCTGAGTGATTATCATTTAAAGCATTTTCTTTGCTTTTATTGACAGGTAGGCCTCGTGGCTAGGTACCAGAGACAGATACAGGAGTAAACCAGCCTTGTTTGCAGGCCATAGACCTGCGGGGAGGTAGACACACAAATAGAAAGTTGGACTACAGTGTTCAGGTTCTATAGTAAGAGGTAACTTAAATACAGGAAGGAAGAAGGAGGCGGGGCTGCTATATCCCCTTAGGATTGTCTTTCAAGGTGAGGGATCTCTTCTTCTGGTCCTGTGCAGGTCTTCTCTGTAAAAGGAAGGGTATGGAATGGAAGCTCTCCAGGCTTCTTTCTTTCCCTGTGATATGACATGACATATTTTCTAAAACCTCTTTCAATTCTAATACTATGGCTATAGCAGTAGGTCAAACTGTATCTCCTATAGACTTGTACCAGATATCACTTCCACTTTAGTGAAACCACATCAGTGCATTTTTCTCCAACCTGGATAATTGAGAAAGATCATATTTAATTTGTGTACATCTCCTACCTTGGTTCCATTACAGTGCTGGGTGTACAGTAGATGCTTAATAGAGGCTTGTTAAATCAAATGGGATAGAAATTACAGTCCCTGCTTTTAGACTCTTCCCCACTTTGGGATATTAGTTCATATATGTATATGAAGGTAATGGAGAGGAACTTTTTTTTTTTTTTAAACCAGAGAGACTTGGAATAGATATGCCAGATTTAAACCAGCTTTAAGGGGGTAATCCGCTTGAGAAGGATAATGTASGCAGGAGATTCAGCGCTGTTTCATTCCTCTACCTGCCTATCTCCAGGACCATGGCCAACAATGAACGCACCTTCATTGCCATCAAGCCTGATGGGGTCCAGAGGGGTCTTGTGGGAGAGATCATCAAGCGTTTTGAGCAGAAAGGATTCCGTCTTGTTAGTCTGAAATTAATGCAGGTAAGTAAACTTCATTCTTCCTAGATTAATTTCTGTTTGTCCCCTCTGCTTTTAGATTTCTTCATGGTAGACTGACCACAAACGTCTTGAAGCCTGGAAACCCCTCAGGGACCTAGCATCTTGGCTAACTCTTGAAACAAAACAAGCTATTTGGGACTTGCAAAAATAGTCTGTCTTTCCCCTTAGCAATGTAGAACTCCACATAATTCCTGTAGCACTGTAATTTCTGACATAGCCCCAAGTGTGTTTGGGCTCTTGGACTCTAGATTTCTAAGCAGATAATTTTAGAGAACTTTTTTCCCTTTTTGAGGCAGGTTGTTTTTCAGCAAGAAAATCTTTGCATTGTCAGTTACTACCTGCTTAGTGTCCAACATATATCAGGTACCATTGGGGCTTTGGTGGGAAAACTATAGCTCTCCTGACATAGCAGAGAGCAGATACATCTTTATAAGACACCTACAAAACAGTATTTTAGTAAATTCAAAGGATTAGCCAAGAATCCTCTTCAAACAGATCCAAGAGATGAAGATTCAGATTCTCAAATAAATTAATTTTTCCCATTAAAGGAATCAACTTTGGCCCCTCCTAGTGCATTTTAAATTTAGCTTGATTTGCAGTTTACTTCCTGTGTGATATTTTAGGAAAGGGGATAGACTCTTAATGCTGAGGGAAGAGCGAGGTGGAATGATGAGAGTCAGTTGATGGACAAACAATGGATTTACATATTAATTTGGTTTTGAAGGTAAAATGAAATGAATGAGGTGTTGATCAGGTATTTACTCTGTGCTGGGCAACTATGTTTTCTCCTCTAGCCCTCTTGACAACCCTGAGACATTGTTAGGGGGAAGCAGGCTTGGAGAGGTTAAGTAATATGCCTGATAGCACAGTCGGTGATGCAGCTGGGATTTTTAACTTGGGTCTCTGACTCCTAAGTCAAACAATTTTCTCCTTTACAATGACTTTTCCTGTCAAGGATGTGAGTTTGGTAAAGAATGGAAGGAATGATTTCTTCCATTACTTGAGGTTCTCCGTCTATCAAAAAAAAAAGCCTCTATGTTTTGCAAGCTAAAGATCTTTAGAACCAATTAATAGAACTAAAACTAAGGGCCTTGCGAGATTCTCAGCAAGCATAGAGGCAGTGAGAGATCACAGCCAAGTTGAGTTGAAACTAAGCAGATGGTTTGCTCTCTAGCTAACTTTATTTGTTCCTATATACCAGCCTTGAAGTGTGAGAGATTCTAATTCATTCTTCCAGCAATAAATAAGAATTATTTATTGCTAGATGTCATGTTCTTTTGGGTGGTTTATGGATATCTTTGGGGATCACATGGTCACCACACTGTGGCTTTATCCTCTGAATAAGTAAGTATTCCTGGGAGATGGCCTGGTTCAGTTTGCTGCCTATAGAATGCCCACACTACCTCCCTGACTTCCCTCCCCAAGTTCATCACAGTCCACCAATGGAAATTCATTGTATTGTTTGTTTTCTTAACATGAGATGGGGGGGATTCAATTTTAATGTTATTTTATTCTGATCATTCAAGGCCTAGAGGGAGAAAATTGGTTCAAACTGCAGAAGCACTTTTAGTCCTTGTCACTGCTCCCCTCTGGTAGTGTAGAGAATGTATTCAGTTAGCTAGGGATGTGGCTCAGTGGCAGAATGCTTGCCTGGTGTGCCCAAGGCTCAGGGTTCAATTCCCAGCACCAGAAAAGAAAAAAAATGACTAAGATGAGAATGTATGATGAGCTAAGAGCTCATGTTTTAAATAGTAGGATGAGTGAGGGGGAATAACCAGATTATTTGTTTTTAGAATGTTTGGGGTTCTTAGTTCTTCTTTTCTGTCCTATGGAATAAGGCTTCTGAAGACCTTCTCAAGGAACACTACATCGACCTAAAGGACCGTCCTTTCTTCTCTGGCCTGGTGAAGTACATGCACTCTGGGCCAGTGGTTGCCATGGTGAGTGTGCCTGTGTGGGATGTTGAATGAATGACTCAGTTGGAAGTGGAGAAGAACAAATGTTGTGATTCCCAAATCTGATGCCAGGGCCTCATTGCTTCAGAGGAATTTCAGGTTGGCAGGAATGGGCAGTTGGTATGAGTCAGCTCTCTGACCCACCAAAGAAAAGATACATTTGCTTATTGAGCTGAAGACCTGTGACTAGGAGGAAACCGGAGAGACCTGCTTGTTCAAGCCTCTGGAAGGCAGGAGATTGTTTCTTGGTTATTGCAGTATTACTACCAAATATGTATATAGTCCTTGTCACTGCTCCCCTCTGGTAGTGTAGAGAATGTATTCATTTAGCTAGGGATGTGGCTCAGTGGCAGAATGCTTGCCTGGTGTGCCTTGTTATATATATGTGCCAGGCTTTCTTCTAGACATTGGGGATATAGTCATGAATGAGATAAAGTGGATATCTGTTTTCATACCTTTCTTTGCCTGCACTTCCTTTCTTCAAAAATTACAGTATTGGAGATCAAACCAAGGGCTTCGGGTATACTAGGCAAGTGCTCTACCACTGAGCTATATTCCTAGCCCTTGCCTACATTTCTTGAAGGGAGTAAGGGTGGGCAGACAATAAAGAAATTAAGAAATATGTACACATACATACATACATAATAAATATACATTATAATATATAAATATATGTATATTACTAAGCCAATATATTTAAAAGCTTATATAATAGTATAGTAAGATGCACAGGAATGAAACTGGGTGATGTGATGGTCAAGGAATGTGATTTGTAAGCTCAGATCTGAATGACAAGAAGGAGCCTGCCATGCACAAAAATCAGTGAGGAACATTCCCAAACAAGAAAACAGCATGTGGCCGGGTGCAGTGGCACATGCCTGTAATCTCCACAACTCTGGAGTCCGAGACAGGCTGAGACAGGAGAATTGTGAGTTCAAAGCTAGCCTCAGCAAAAAGTAAGGTGCTAAGCAACTCAGAGAGACTCTGTCTCTAAATAAAATACAAAATAGTGCTGGGAATGTGGCTCAGTGGTTGAGTGCCTCTGGGTTCAATCCCTAATACCTGAAAAAAGAAAAAACAAAACAGCATGTGGAAAGGACCTGGGGAGGGGCATGGCAGGGAAAGGAGGTTGGGATGGTTAAAGCCAACTTAACCAGAAACATTAGGTCGAGATAAGTTCACAACTAGATGTGGTGGTGCATGCCTAAAATCCCAGTAACTCTGGAGGCTGAGGCAGGAGAATTGCAAGTTTGAGGCTAACCTCAGCAATGTAGCGAGACCCTCAGCAACTTGGCGAGACCCTGTCTCAAAAAACAAAAAGGGCTGGGGAAGGCCATGGCACAAGGGCTGTGTTGTCCATGCTCTTCATTAGTTCTGGGAGGTGATGGGAGGTTTTACATTTGGCATTTTAAAAAAGCCACATAATTTGCCATGTTGAGAATGGATTGTAGAAAGGCAGGAGTAGGGGCAGGGAGACCAGTTACCCCAGAACTGGGAGTAGATGCTCCATAAATATTTGTTCATTGAATGAATGTCATTTTTTTTTTTTTTTTTTGAATGTCATCTTAATGGGGACTTTTTCTGAATTAATAGTTGCCAGATTTTCTGGTGAGATTGGGTTTCTTCCTTGATCACATTCTCTTTTGTCCTTGAAGGTCTGGGAGGGACTAAATGTGGTGAAGACAGGCCGAGTGATGCTCGGGGAGACCAATCCTGCTGATTCCAAGCCTGGGACCATTCGTGGGGACTTTTGCATCCAAGTTGGCAGGTGGGATTTGGTGGTTTTTTTTTTTTACTCTATTCCCAAATCTGAATTGCCACAAAAATTCGGGCTTCTGAGGCTGGAGATAGACATGATAACACATGCAGGTCAGTTTTAAATCAGAGTTCACTGTCCTCTAAAGTTAGTGGTTGACTTTGAGGGCTCTCTGTCTTTGGTCGTCATCATCCTGTGGTTGTGCCTAAGTAGAACCTGACCGGAGGCTTCCCCGAAGGCTGTCACTGCTTGTATCAGTGTTGCCAGGAGGGCTGGGTGTGGGGAGGTCCTTCTTCATCCTATTAATGGCAGCTGTGAGTTTTTTCTTTTGCTACATCGTCTAAAGTGCATGCACCTTTGGCTTTGCGCTGCTGCGGCTCTAGACTTTCTGGCATTGGGGAATGTGGTGGGTTTCTGGGCTTAATTCTTCTGGTCTTGGTAATGTGGTCATCTCTTCTCCACCAGGAACATTATCCACGGCAGCGATTCTGTGGAGAGTGCAGAGAAGGAGATCAGCTTGTGGTTTCAACCTGAGGAACTGGTGGATTACAAGAGTTGTGCACAGGACTGGATTTACGAGTGACAGGAGGGCAAGCCACCATGCTTTGCTTGTCTACTTCCCACCATTCCCATGGGCAGGGGACCAGACTATAGCAAATCTAGTTATTTCTGGAATAAATAAGAGTTTCTCCAAGGGAACTCTTGAGCTGTGAGTACTCCCTGTACAGTGTTATGTGCTACCATCAGATTAAAATGTTTCATCTCAACATAGGATTAGTTGAATTGGTTACTTTGTATTGCTTTGCATTCTTCTTTTTGTGTTTTCTGAATAATCTGAACTACTGGAGTATAAATACTATATAAATTATTTATATTGGCTTGAAGATCTCACATACACACAGGCATTCTCTTTGCCTATTTACCTCCTCACCTCCTGCATGTCATCCACTCTTGGCACAGAGCCAGTCAACAAGTATTTATGGAGGATCTGTTAGGTTGTCAAAACTAATAGGGGCTGGGTATGGTAGCACATGCCTGTAATCCTTACAGCTCAGGAGGCTGAGGTAGAAGGACCACAAGTTTGAGGCTTGCCTTGGCAACTAAGTGAGGCTCTAAGCAACTTAGTGAGACTCTGCTCAAAATAAAAAACAAAAACTAGGGGCTGGGGATGTGGCTCAAGCGGTAGCGCCTGGCATGCGTGCAGCCCGGGTTCGATCCTCAGCACCACATACAAACAAAGATGTTGTGTCCGCTGAAAACTAAAAAATAAATATTAAAAAATTCTCATTCATTCTCTCTCTCTCTCTCTCTCTCTCTCTCCCCTCTCTTTAAAAAAAAAACAAAAAACTAATAAACCAGGGCTGAGGATATGGCATAGTGTTAGAGCATGCCTGGGTGTTCAGTCCCCCCCCATACACAAATACACAGAGATTGTACTGGATACAGAGGATTCATCAGAAATAAAAGATTGGGCTGGGGATATAGCTCAATTGGTACAGTGCTTGCCTTGCAGGCCATGAATTCAATCCCTAGTACCATACACATACACACGAAAAGATATCCATCCTGGTCTTCAGAAATATGAGAAGTTGTAAGTACTTAAAAACTCAAGAAAAGGGGCTGGGGAGCTGGGGATGTGGCTCAAGCAGTAGCGCACTCGCCTGGCATGCGTGTGGCCCGGGTTCGATCCTCAGCACCACATACAAAGATGTTGTGTCTGCCGAAAACTAAAATAAAGAAAAAAAAAAAAAGAAAAGGGGCTGGGTTTATGGCTCAGCGGTACAGCGCTTGCCTAACATGCACGAGGCACTGGGTTTGATTCTTAGCACCACATAAAAATAAATAAATAAAAAAATAAAGGTATTGTGTCCAACTACAACTAAAAAAATATTTAAGAAAAAAACTGGACAGTAGGCCTAGATCCCTGGGATGGTCTCAAAGTGGGACGAATCTAAGTAGCTTGGACTTATTTGGATTTGATTTGGTTGTTTTAAGAGAGATAAGACAGAAATGTACTTCTCTTACAATTTTTTTTTTTAAAGTCTTTTTTTTTTTTTTTTTAATATTTATTTTCTAGTTCTCGGCGGACACAACATCTTTGTTGGTATGTGGTGCTGAGGATCGAACCCGGGCCGCACGCATGCCAGGCGAGCGCGCTACCACTTGAGCCACATCCCCAGCCCCCTTCTCTTACAATTTAAAATCCAAGCTGTTCATTAGGGATGGTGTTGGTGGTAAGGCTCTGAACCTTGAGGTTGTCCAGGGACTCAGTTCCTTCTAACCAACTCCATGTGGATTACTACCCCTAGGGCCACATTCCAGAAAGTTGGGGATGGAAATGGAAGGAGTATCCTTTACTTTTAAAGGTATAACTCAAACTGGGTTCTGTGGTACATATTTGTAGTCCTAGCTACCTGGAAAGCAGTAGTTCAAGGCCAGCCTGGGCACTATAGTGACACCCTGTCTCAAAAGAAAAAAAGAGCCAGGTGCAGTGGCACATACCCATAATCCCAGAGACTCGGGAGGCTGAGACAGAACGATCTCAAGTTCAAAGCCAGCCTCAGCAATTTAGCAAGGTCCTAAACAACTTAGCGAGACCCTGGTTCAAAATAAAAAGCTGGGGATGTAGCCCAGTGATAAAGCATCCCTGGTACCAAACACAAAAGAAATCAAAACAAACCCCAAATCAAACACAACTAAAAAAACAAAAGTGAAATACCTTCACTGTCCCTGACATCCCATTGGCTAGGACTTAGTCATATGGCTGCATTTAGCTACTAAGAGCCTGGAAAATGTTCTTTTTATTTGAGTAAACTGTGCTCACGTAAAACTCAGAAGTTCTGGGGCTGGTGATGTGGCTCAAATGGTAACGTGCTCGCCTGGCGTGCATGGGGCGCTGGGTTTGATCCTCAACACCACATAAAAATAAAATAAAGATGTGTCCACTGAAAACTGAAAAATAAATATTAAAAAATTCTCTCTCTCTTCTCTATCTTAAACAAACAAACAAACTCAGTAGTTCTACCTTGGAAAAAGGTGAACTAGAAAGTGAGAATGAATATTGAAAGACAACTGATTTTTGCCATAAACTTCAGAAGGGTTTCTTGCTTAGTATTTGTTCATCTGGCTGGAAGGGGCAATAGAGAGCAAGGGAAAGGAGGAGGAGAATGGTTGGAATAGAGCTGCCTTCTTTTGGGGCAGCTGGAGGCTAGGTGCATTTCAATTTCATGCAAAGCCTGTTTTAGGGTGTGGGATGACAGTACCAGGACCTACCAGAACCTTTGCAGAATGTGGTAGTGAGGCAGGAGTGCTATAGCTTCTTGTTAAGGAAGGTCTTTCCAGGAAGGAAAGATGTTGGAGAGGGTTAGTATTGAACTATATGTTGGGGGCTGGGGATGTGGCTCAAGCGGTAGCGCGCTTGCCTGACATGCGTGCAGCCCGGGTTGGACCCTCAGCACCACATACAAACAAAGGTGTTGTGTCTGCCAAGAACTAAAAAAAAATTTAAAATAAATATTAAAAATTCTCTTTCTCTCTTTAAAAAAATATTTAAAAAAAAGAACTATATGTTGGTATTAGTGACCTGGCCAAGGGGCAAACAGGTGTCTACTGGATAGAGAAATGCCCAGTGAAATTTCCACACTCTTACCCACAGTTTGACATTTGGTAACTCCTAAAAGGAAAATAAATGAGTGTGGTTCAGATTGAGGTCAAAGGAAACCCTGTCCTAGAATGAGGGAAAGTGACAATTATTGTCAATATATCATGGGTTGATGCTCTGCCATTAAAGGTTTGGGAAGCTGGTAAGGTGTAATTACACGCTTGGATTGTCACCCATTTGGTCAGTCACAGGTAATAAGTGCTGTGCTAGTGAGGTCAGCTTAGAGTACTGGATGGGGGGCATAGAGAGTCACGTCATCTCAGGGCAGGGAGTGCTGGTGTACAGGTGTCAGTGTAAGGGACACTGAGGGGAGGGCTTGCTGACTCCCCTAGAGAAGCAGGGGACCATCAAAAAGGGACTCCAAGGGTGAAAGCCATCCCTAGATGAGCCTGTTGGGATTCCAGAAGAAGCACTAACTGCCAGGGTGAACAGCCCAAAGCTTATTAGGGAAACTTAAGAGTGCTGCAGCTCCTCCTTGAGACAGACATGGAGAGGAAAGGGGTGTCCTCAGCAAGGGGCCACAGTATGGAGCTTACATGTGGGTTTAGGGAATTTTGGCTTAGGCTCCTAGCCAGCTTGTGTTTTGGACAACAATCTATATGTCTTACCAACAAGGATGTTGTGTCCGCCAAGAACTAAAAAATAAATATTAAAAATTCTCTCACTAAAAAAAAAAAAAAAAAAAAAAATCTATATGTCTTAATCAGTGCCTGAGAAGGTTCTAGGCCCCAACTTGGGCTCAAGCCAGCCTGAGACAAACCTGCAGCTGGCTGGGTCACCAGAGTTGTACCGGAATTCTGTGATTTTTGTGGTTAGGACCCAGCAAAGAAGGGTGGGTGGTACCTGCAGGGAGCTAGTGGTTTGCCTGATAGACAGACAGGAGTGGGGGCTTGTTTACAAGTCAACAGGACTGATTTCTGTGAGAATCTAGACTTGCTGTGGTGTGTCTCGGGTGGAACTTAACCGTGTGGTTAAGTAGTGCTGTGTGGGAACAGGGCAGCTAATTAAGGTTGGAAGGGTAGTGGGGAGACAGGCAACCAGGGACATATAGCGAAAGGCATGCAATATCTTCTCAAGGAGTTGAACGCCTTCCTGAGGTAAGGTACAGAATCTGGAGCAGATGGCACCCAGAGGAGGGTGCTGAAAGAGGCTCCGTGCGAGCGGCTAGAGGCGAGGTCGTGGATGAACAGGCTGAGGGCTTAACCAGGGCTTAAGCAAAGGGGTGGGGAAGGGAAGGCTGACTTTCAGAGGTGTTAAGGATAAGGACTTGGGGGCGCCTGAGGGCAGGGGAATCCAGCTGGACCCGGGGCGCTCCGGCGGAGGGTGAAAGCAGATGGAATTGACCGGGAAAGAACTGCAGACCAGCAGTAGGTTCTCGCCGAGTAGAAGTGAAGCAGGAGGAACAAGGGCAGTCTTAATTGGGGAGGCCCGGAAGTTAGGGGACAAATCACCTCCCGCCTAGAACCCGGTAGTCGCTGGCAAGGCGAGGGCGTCCACTTGCAGGTAGCTGGGCGGGGACACGGCGGCCTGCCGCGTCCGGCGCGCCGGGCATCCCCGGGTTGGGCAGCGGGCCCTCCGGGGTGTGGCCGTCCGGCGCCCCGCCCCCGCTCCTCCTCCTCTGCTGTCTCCCGGGTCGGGTGGTCGCTCAGATTTCGGTCTTGCAGCACAGCCACCGCCGGTCCAGCAGTCCCCGGGTAAGGCTGGGTGCACTCTCTGCCGCCACCCCGTACCGCTTCCCGCGGATCCGGGCTCCCGTCTGCACGCGCTCGCGGCCCCTTGCAGCACCGCGCTGGTCGGATCCGGGTCCCTAGCACCTTCCCTTCCCGGGCCTTGAGACACTGCGTACGGGCGGCGGCGCCTGCAGGGGCAGGGCGGAAGCGCCCGGGAAGCCACGTGTCCCTGAACTGGGGGAGGAGGGTGGCCGGACGGGTGTCCACGTGGCCTCCCCTACTCGGGCCGTGGCCCCGGCGGGGCTGTGTCCTGGCAGACGCCGGGCCCTGACTGCGCCTCGGGTTCCGCAGGACCATGGCAAACCTCGAACGCACCTTCATCGCCATCAAGCCGGATGGCGTGCAGCGCGGCCTGGTGGGCGAGATCATCAAGCG